CAGACCCAGCAGCCAGGCTGGAGCGCCAAGCCCTGAGCGCCCGGACACACACAGGCTCAGCCTGAACCATTTCCCTCACTACAGGGACCCCTACCGAGGGGCTCTGGTCGCTAGCACAGCCTAACAAAGCAGGGTCCAAACGAGCCTGACCTGTGATTGGCTTCAGCTCCAGGAGGGAGCAGGAGGCAGAGCTAGCCAGAACACGGTACCGGGTCACCGCGCTGTCGGCATCTCGGTTCTGGCGCACCTTCACCATCTTCCCGTCCTCGGGGGACACTCGGTAGTTCGGTGCCAGTGTCATCTGAAGCACAGGAAGCCCCCAGAAGGAAGATGGAGTCACAAGAAACACACCCTGAGCGCTGGGAGGCAAGGGAAGGGTGCTGAGGGCCTGGCTGGAGACTCACAGAGCTAAGCCCTGGTCAGCAGCACTGGGCCTGCCGAGGAGGCAGCTCACTCACCTTATAGTGCGACTGGTGGCTCTGCACTTTCTTCTCCACAATGGGAATATCCACTAGCCCCTCCGAGGGGACCGGGAGCCCCACGCTGATCGCCCTGGCAAGAAAACACCCAGATCAACAGGGCCCACCCCGGGTCTCCCCAGGCAGGGAGCGGTCACTCTCCTTATCCCATCAGCAATGCTGCAGACACTCTGCTAGAGGAGGCTCTTCAGTGGGACAAATGTGACCAGCACTTCCAGAAAGCAGGGACGTGCCGTTCGTGCCAAATCCCAGAAAGACCTACCAGGACCGCGGGTGCCAGCAGTTACACCTGGGGCTCTGAGCACCAGGAGAATCCCCGTCACCCCTTCCCGGGCTCTGAGCCCAGCTCTCTGCTGGTTGAATGGCAGCAGATGCCCTGCCCACTCAAGCCTTCTCCTCAATATGCCCAGGAGAGGAGAGGAGAGGAGACAAGATCCGCTTCAGCCTGGGGAGCAGGAGATGGAAGATCGTTCTGGCTAAAGCACAGGAAGGAGCACTAGGCTGCCAGGGCCAGCAGCTAACTGCTCAACACCTGATACCCAAGCATAGCGCAGCCAAGCCAGAGCAGTTCTAATGGCTGCTAGGTGAGAGCACATAAGCAGGTGGGTGGGGGCCTTTCCCTGCTCGGCCCCGGGGCAGCGAGAGGCACTTGAGGGCTTTGCGAATGAACTAGCAAGTATCCAGCTTGTTCCCAGTGGGCAGATGCTGCACGAGCTCCACCCCTACAAGGTCTCTAGGGAGGCCCATGGGCTGTGGCCGAGCTCCCCTCTCCTTAGAGAGGGTCCCCTTCAGGCATGGCGAGGAGTCTGTACTGCTACCGCATACCAGGGCCTCAACCTGCTCTGGCAGGACAGAGCTCAGCCCTCCCCATGCTGCAAGCCGCAGGGGAGCTGTATCCTTCTCCCCGTACCAGTAGCACTTCTCCACCTGGCACACTTTGAAGAGGCTCTGGAGCCGATGGGCCGTGTCCTCATCCCGGGCTAGCACCATCACGCCCGTCGTCTCCTTGTCCAGCCGGTGACACAGGTGCAGGGGCTCAGCTTTCATGCCATCCAGCATCTTGGCCAAGATGGACAGCACGTTGGAGATGCAGTTCTGGACACCAGGACCCCCTGGCAATTGGAAGGGAAACAAGACCACAGAAGCAGATTAGAGACCAAGCTCCCAGGGAAGTGGGCTCCTGAGCCAGCAAGGACAGGCTCAGCTGGGGCCCTGTGGAAAGACTTATAGCCATGAGGACACACGAGAGCCTGCAAGTTCCCCCAGGAAATGACGTCAGAGCTCACCAGGCACCTTGGAGCCAGGCACACTGAGTTCCCCAAGGAAGCCTGACCGGCTGATCTGCCCCCCAACAGAAGATCTCACAAATATGTTCCAAGTCTGACTAAGTGCTTCGGGACACAGACTGTGCCGATCTAGGGTACATCGCCTAGTGCCAGGGTCCTTCAGGTGCGCCCACAGCAAGCTGCAAACTTCCACTTTTCATTTGCAGCACTGCCCGCAGAAATGCAGTCCCCACGAGGTGAGGCTCGAGCAGCTGGGCCAGCTCCTGCTCTCATCCCCATGGCACACCAGGCTGGGAGAGGCTGCCCTACCAGACAATCAGCACCATGGTGAAACATTCCCCTCTCCTCACATGGAGCTGGGCCCCTTAAACCACACATGCGGCTCGGCCCTGGGGACCAGATGCAGGCAGAAAAGCCCCATGGCACCCAGAGATGCCAGACAGAACACTTGTTTGGCTCACTGTATCCCCTGCCCTGCTCCCCATGCAGCTCCCACTGGAGGCTCTCTGTGGCCCAGCTCCACTTCAGGCCTCATTCATGAGCACAGTCTGACCCAGGCTCAATTCAGACCTACAGTGATGGTCGTGGTGATTTCAGCACATGGAGCTCAAATCAGTTAGCCATGTTTAACGTGACATGTGCCCAAGCACTCTGCTAACCAAGAGAAGGCGCCGTCAGGGTAGCAAGCTCTCACAGGAACTAGAATCGGCTGACACACTCCTAGCATTAGCACAGAACAGCCTCCCTGGTCCCTCTCTCACCGTGCACAGGGAGGCCATAGGGTTTGTTAATCACCACAATCTCCTCATTCTGGTACAGGATCCCACGTTTCAGTGCCTTGGCCAGCACGTTGGGGTGAACCCGCTGCAGCTGCTTGCTGAGCTGAGCCAGTTCCTGGACACGCCTCAGAACTGGGTTTTTAGGTTCCTGTGAAGAGAGGAAACGCTCTCAGTGGAGAAGGATGGTCTCAGGTTGAGTAACAGGGATTTAGGAAACGAGGGCGCAATTCGTGACTTGAGACACTGGGCAGTTCACTTAATCTCTCTGCCTCAGTAGCTCCTCACTGCACCATGGTGTCTGAGCAGCTCTCCCAGTTACTACTGTGATGGGGCTGCAGACACTGCCCAGTGGTCCTACTGCAGCAGCCACCCCACTGGAACATCACCTGGCTGGGCAAGGATTAGGACAACTCCAGTGTGCTCTCAGTGCCTCACCACAACCTGTAGGTTTCATCATCCCTCGATGCAGGCTAAGGATGTAAAAGACTAGTCAACTAACTAGGTGATAAGCATTTGCTCATCGGATAGTATTTTGACTAGTCAATATCCCTCCTCCCCACCCCCATTGCTACCTCTAAGATAGATTTGTTATATTTGTTAAATTTAATGGATTCTGAAATTTCGTAAAAAGTTTTTAACATATTGTAATAAAATTTAACACGACAGATGTTACAAAAAGTTTTTAACATATTGTAATAAAATGTAACATCTGTCATGTTAAAAGGGCCAAAAAATTTCTTAAAGCTCTGTTTTTGCCCACCAGCGAGTATCTCCAAGAACTGAAATATACTTCATCTTACTGAATTTGCGTCACACATTCATGCATAGGTGCGAGTCTCTGAGAAAAACTGCACAGGTGTTAATAATCCCAAAGAGAGAAATACAGTAGTATCCACCGTAATCTGTGTTATTTCACTTACAATTAAATTCAAAACGTGTATAGCATCACACATGTATTTGGCCAGGTGCAGCATTGTCGAGCCATGCAGAAAACTTATTATATTCAGCTTGCATATTAGCTGCTCCATCAGTAGAGTTACTAATACATTTTCTTACATCGATATTCAGGTTTTTAAAGCATTGCAAACTAAATCACACAATGCATTTCCAGTGGTTGATGTACAGTTGGCTACCGCCACTAAACGCTCATGGATAGTATTTGTCACGTATCTTATAACAATCGAACCTTGATCGTGAACATTAATATCCTGTGTTGTATCTATTTGTATACTGAACATTTCTGCATCTCTAATTTCATCACCTAGCATTTTCTTTAAGGTGAGTGTGATGGAATCAATAACTGCATTTGCAGTTGTTTTGGACAACAACATCTGCACATTTCCTCGACCCTTTTTATTCACATTTGTGTCATGACGTTCTTTGCTTTTTTCCTACTACCTCATCAATAAGTACTTTTAATATTGGATCAAATTTACTAATAAGTAAAAGTAACTCCAAGAAGTTACCGTGATCAACATTTTTGTTGAGTAATGTATATGCTGCCTTATTTGCACTTCCTCTGTAGCTGAGCCCTCGCTTTCCAATTAGTTTTATCGTTTCAAATATCCTTTGCATAATTTGACAATTGCATTGTGAGTTTTCAAATTTCTTTCTTGTAAATAAACTTAACAGATCTCTTTTGTTAGTTTTTAAAATACATGCTTCAGTAGAATTTGCATGAAGTGCAGAAATTTCATGTTCTAAGATTCTTTGGTAAATGTGTTTAATGTGATTTACATCGAATCCAGTGATGAATGTAGAATTATCCGAATCGTTGCTAAATGCAAGGCAAAAAAAACAAAATACATTTTCTATTTCAGTATTATACGTCAACCAATGTCAACTTAAACCATCTTGTCAAAAATAAATCTTTTTGTAATTTACTTTTTCATTTAAATTGGGTTGTTCTGGATGAAACTTGAGAAAATTATTTAGATTTTCTTGTTTTGGTCGTAAGAAATACTTTCGGATTCATTATCCCCATATTCATTTGAGGAAGAGGTCGACAGCGCAACAGAAACAAAATCATCAGTAAAAGCGACGAGGAGTCCTGTGGCACCTTATAGACTAACTGAAGTGTAGGAGCATAAGCTTTCGTGGGCAACGACCCACTTCGTCAGATGCATGCATCTGCACCTGGTCATCTCCAGCCTGATCCTGGCCTGCATATTTATTCCTGCTTCTGGAAATTTCCACTACATGCATCTGACGAAGTGGGTCTTTGCCCACGAAAGCTTATGCTCCTACACTTCAGTTAGTCTATAAGGTGCCACAGGACTCCTCGTCGCTTTTGCAGATTCAGACTAACACGGCTACCCCTCTAATACCTAAAATCATCAGTAGTAAAGGATGTAAATTCAACAATTGTTCGGGTTCGAGAATGGAATTATCAGGAGATTCTGAAGTTGATGGAATGGCAGGAATAACTTTGAGAGTAGAGTCTGAATTCTTATTTATCAGTGATGGCAACGCAAAACATGAAGATTGTGCAGATATAGTGGTAGAATCGAACGTTTGTGTCTCATCAAACTGAGAAGTACCAGTACCAACGATGTGTGTAGCAAAACTTACATTCAGTGATGGCGACAGGGAAGACTGGCCAGCCACAATGGAAGAATCATCTGACTGAGAAGTGGTTTTCGAAAATATGTCCGTTAATTTTACATTTTTTCACTTCGGCTTGTAAGATTGCCTGTTTCTTCTTTTTTAACTTCTCCCAACCATCTTGCACTTTTCTTTTTCACATATTTTAAATTATTTTTGTTGTACTTATCTTATATACTACTATAATTTTTCTTGTAAAGAACACCAGGTCGACAGGAACGGTAGTGAAGTTTGCGGTGGCTGCAAAGGACGTCAACAGACCCACAACTGGAACCGGAACAACGTACAAGCACCAACTGATATTGTCAACAACAACCGTGTACAGTGACGTCACACACTGCGCCACACCGCAAGGCTCGCGGAATGTATGGACAGCAACAACTACAATATGCATGCACCTCGGCACTTACTCATTCAACCACTGTGTACGCTTAGAAGCTTTACAGTGAATATTACAGTTATGGTGACCATATTTTCTGAACCAAAATTAGGGTTACATTAGCCACACTCCTGACCCCTTGTTAACCACACCTCTGCCGGTAACACTCTTGGGGTCAAGACGGACACACGACCAAAAGTAAAAGGTGTCATGTGACACCCTCCCCCCCAAGGACTTTTCCCACCATCCTCCTACCAA